GAGGGTGAGGTCTCGGCCTGCCCCGGCCGCGTCCCCCCGCCAGCCCGAGGAACGGCCGCGCCTCCGGGGAAGGAGAGCTTCTCTGCCACAACCTTTCCTTTTTGCTCCTGCCCCCCAGGCAAGGCCATGGTCTGCTTCGGGAACATGTTCATCGAGCTCCCCAAAGCGCAGACCACGGAGATGCTGCGGAAGGGTGAGGCTGCCCGAGGGGCTCTGTGTGCGCCGCGAAATAAACGGGGTTCTGGCCAGAGCCGGGCTTCGAAGCGCCCAAAACCTCCCGCCGGCAGGCACTGGCCGTCACCATCGCTCTGGCCTGGGCAGAGCCCTGGGAAGCGCCTTCAGGCACAAAGCAACCTGGGCTCAGCCCCGCGGGCAGGGGGGGATGGGGTGGGGCCCCGGGGGGGCTGGGGAGGGGCCCCCTCCTGCCCCCTGGGCCTGGGCTGCCCCTCTGAGCCTCCCACAGGAGGTTCAGCCTTCACCCTGAGCCTGCAGTCTTCCTCACCCTCATCCCGCTTGTCTCAGACCAGGAACACCTGGATGAGGAGATAAACAACCTCCGGAAGGAGCTGCGCGTGAAGGTCAACCGCCTCTTCGAAGCTCAAGGTAAACGCTCCGGGTCTGGGACCTTCTTGGTCTCTGGGAGCAGACGTCGCGTGTCGGGAGGGTCCAGAAACCCCTGAGCTCTCTGTGTTCCTGCAGCCGCTCTCCCACCGGCCTTGCAATCTCTTCCCTGCTCCAGCAGAGTTGTTCGGCTCCTGGTGCGGAGCTGTCGCCCACCAGCACACTAAACGGGCTCCCACGTCACACCGGGGTGACCCCCCTGGGGTCCCTGCCCGCCCTACAGCCCTGCTAGAGCATCACCTGGACCGCTTCACATCTTTGGTGGCAAACCCCTGATTCTTCTGTGTGTTCTCTCAGGTAAAGCTGAGCTGAAGGGATTTAACCTGAACCCCATGAGCGCTGAGGAAATGAAGCTAATCAATCGCATCCTGGAGGGCTGAGGTGGCTGCGCCATCATCACGGCACGTAGCCGGGCTGTGGAGCTGACACTGCACTGGCCTTGGCCTTTGGGGTCTGCAGGACATCGGTGTGCCCGGAGCCTGCATCGAGCCAGGGCGGGCACTGGGCAGCGTTTGGCTCCTCAGCTGCGACGCTGCGCTTTCCTGGGACTGCAAACGCCAACCCTGGCAGAGCCACGGCTGGGACGCAGCAATGGGCAAACGCCCGCGGCCGGGTGGGAGCGGGATCATTAAAGTGAGAGCAGCGGGGCATTCCTAACTGCGGGTGTCTGTGTCCCTTGTTGGGGTTTTATGCAAGTGCTTCTGGAGTTTGGCTTCAGAGCTGGTTCACTGCGTCGGGAATAGGAGTAGGAGGCACTGGGAATCCAGAGTGTGCCCGAAGCACAGAAGAGGAGTTGTGCGCGCCTGTGGTATTAAAACAGAGCCAAAGTACCCTGCTGAAGCACGTCTGGAATCCTTGAGATGCATAGGGAGGGACAGGAGAAGGCAGCGTCCTTTTAGTCTCGCTGGGAAAACACGCTCTGCTGTTGCGTTGGAAGGCAAGAGACCACAGAAAGGAGGCTTTCAACCCAGGCTGAAGGGATAAAATGTACGGATATTTAAAAAAAGCATCCCGAGGAGGGCTGAGCAGGAACAGTTACTGCGCCTGTCTTGTAGTAAAGGACAATTGCTTTACCAGGTAATGGCTTCTTCAAAGGTTTTTAGCATTTATTGTCTTTTACACTGCCCTCCTTGGTCTGAACTTGCTGCCCCAGCACAGCTTGGTTAAGACCATGAGATTATTTTTTTTTTAAATGAATCATAATTAGTAACGGACTGTGTACAGGAAAGTGGCTGGATCCAGCCAAGCCCTTTCTTTTTTGAATTTGTGTAAAGATATTTCTGGTTAGAATTTAAAAGCTTTAAACACAGCCATTGTCCTTGTTTCTCTGGCTCTCGAGGTAGCTCCTCTGTTCCAGCAAGCCTTGCACACCTAACACAGAGCGGGGCCTGATCCCTCCCTCTCTTCCCTGCTGCAGCTTCTGCACCACCGGGCAGAACGGTAGCCACAGCACCGCTGTTCTCCGGGCTCCCTGGCCGCCCTCCAGCCTAAGGGGCCAGAGGGGCCTCCTCCAGGCAGCCCGGCGCTGCCTTGTCTGGTTCCACGTGCTCCTCAAATGAATAACCTGTTTCAGACTCCTTAAAACCGCAGAGTGATTTCTTTAAGAGGCCAGCTACCATTGCTCGAGCTAAGTTTTAAAATTCGGTAGCTAACACCACATACCCTAAATGTGCAACTGCAAGCAGCGAGGCTGTCCAGGCTTAAGTTTCAGCTGTAGATGAAAAACAACATTGCCTTGCTACCTGACCAGTCTTGCCTGTAGCTTTTTCAGCAAATTGCATCTCCTCAGGAAGCAAGGGGCGGCACGGCGTGCCAAGTCCCCGTGTCAGAGCCGCACTCTTACACAACCTGCGTCCTACAGCCAGCCGACGTCTCCATAACATGTGATGGCGAGGTTATTTTTACAGTATCATGGCAACAGGTTTTCGGCTCCAACATGTTTCCATAGTAGTAGCAGTAGGAGGATCAGGTGCCTGCCTTCCCGAAAAGCTTTGTTTTGCTGTGCAGAGCATGTTTTGCCCCTTTATTTTCTTAACACGGTACAGAACTAAGCTCTGCGAGTGCAGATGGACAGCCCAGAGGTCGCATCCCCCATGGCTCGTGTCAGCCGTTACGAAATGGCTCATTCGAGCCCACTGCAGCTTCCAGGCTGGGAAACCTTCAGAGGCCAAGTGGCCAGTGACCGCTGAGCCAGCAGTGACCAGAGGGAAGTGGGAACTGCTGCTGCCTGGTATGAGGTGGAGAGGGTGAACTTCATCCCTGGTGATCCCTCCCATCCCGAGCTTGGCATCAGCATTACGCTTTCTGCTGCGCAGGAAGATTCCTGAAAAGCTGCTGCAGTTGTTTATTCCTGTTGTAGCAGCCCGCAATGACAGCGTTACCAGGGAGTTACACATCACCTTACTCTTCCTTCCTGTGGAGGTGAGGCAATGTCCCACTTGCAGGTGAAGCTGTACTCGTGTTTTGTTAGAAACTACAGCTGGAGGTGATTGTTGGCACGCTGAGCTGCGTACTGCAAAATAAAGGTACAGTACATGTCAGCCTCTCGGAAGTAGGACTTCAGACTCCGAGTACTCCTTCCCAACAGTAAAATGCACAAGTAGCTTCCAGGAGAGCGCCCAGCAAACGTCATGGTGGCCGTAGAGCTGAAGAACTCTGCTGTGACTTAGCGCTTGAAAAGCAGGACTACGAACAAAACTGTTGCCGCTACACTCACACGCTTGTTTCCAACAGCCCTCCTGCAGCCTGGTTGCTTACGCCCACTTTGGAAAGCATTTGCTCCTTTTGGTCTCAATCCCGTAAAAGCCCACGGGCCTGCTCTTGTTCGTTTATTCTCAAGTGAAAGGCGTGTGCTCTCCTCTTGCTGCGCAGACAGACAGCTTAGGGACGCAAGCAGGGCACCTGCCAGCGCTGGAGGAGCACGCACCTAAACGTGGGTTGGCCATGGTGTTCTCGTGGAGGGGAGTACCCAGGTCTGCCCCGCTGCTGACAGGCCCCTCGTTCCCCATCAGGTCAAAGCCTCCGACATGCTTCTCCTTCCCCATCAGCCTACATCATCAAATACTTGCACTGAAGCACCTGAGCAATGACAATTATCTGTCTGCGCATAGGAATAAGCTCCCAGACAATCGGAGACAAAGCTGAACAGCTGAAAGCAGCGGACGACTCCACTATTAATATCGGAGGTTAGCACAGTTGCAAAGTCAATCACAAAATGCTGTGAGACAAGCTGCTGAGAACAGAGCGCTCCAGACGTGGTACGTGTGGGAGGCACAATGCAGAAAGGCCTCTGAAAGAGAGCTCTTGTGCAAGTCCCGGCCCTGACGCGGGCTCCGTTCCTTTTGCAGCCCCGTGCTGCTTTGTTTTCCCACTCTGAAGGGGCAGTGTGATTGCTTGCTTTGCTCCATTTCTGGAAATCCATCATTTAATCTCTATAAAGGTTAGGGTATTACGATCAGTTGCCAAGACAGACACGGAACCAGACCATCCATTCCAAACTTTTAATAAACCTCGTTGCCTGCCTGCCCTCCCTGTCCACAATAGGAAGTGTGTCTCTGAGCAGATGACACGAGCTTACAGCCTCCCTGGCTACTGGCAGTGGGGGCAGGTGAAGCGTTCGCCTCCAGGAGCCAGCCAAGGAGAGACAAGGGCAGTCAATTAGGGAGAAACGGGCAGTTTCCCCCATGGTTCATCTAAGAGAAATGCCTGTCCACAAAATCATTACCCTGCTAGCAGGCAGGAGTAAGTGTGAAGCAATAGGAAATCCAACCCTAAATCTCTTTCCCATGCACCAAGCCAAAGAACATTCTGAGCTTATTGCAAAGTTTCTATTCCTGTTCTCGATGGTACTGAAGAAAAAAATCCCTCTAGCTTCCAGAAAGACAGACAAGTGAAAACCAAAGTCTAGCTGAAGCGGTAAGTGCTGAGGAGAATTCACAGAAGGAGCATTAACCCTTTCTTAGTGGCAGAATGTGCACGTCTCCTGGGAACAGTTTCCTAGCACAACCCAGCGTTCCAACAGCTCTCCTTCGAGAGCCCAGCAGCGCTAGCTGAGTGACGACATCGAGGGCTTTCATTCCGATTCATTTGTTTCCTGACCAGCTGAAGTTATTCTGGCTCTTTACGTGCAAGCTGACTAAGCAGTAATTTGGTTTGAGGCTGTGAACAGAGTAGGTTGTGCAAATTAGGGCTGTCCGGGACCACGGCTGAGCTGCATTTATTTGCTCATTTGAAATAAAGCTGTCCCCAGTAGCACCACGTGAAATATTGGACTGATGCTGGCAGGACACGGGGCTGTAATGGGCGAACCAGCTACCGGGTCTCGTTAGAGGGAAGAGTTAAAAAAAAAAAAAAGACGACATTTGCTAGGAGAGCACCGTCAACATAAACCATATCTAAGGGCAATTTCCTTACCTACGGTACCGCTTGCACTTTACGTGATTAAGGCTGAAGGAATAATAATCCTATTTGCTTGTCATTTCTGAAGTGCTATTTGCTGTTTCTGTTTTTCTCAACTCCCGTAATGACAAAGTCAGTTGCGCTCTTGGGTTCCTCCTGTTGCAATACTGGGGTTGCATACATAGCAGATAGAATTCTGAGAACTTCAGCTGAACTTTAACTATACATATTTTTCACTCAGTCAGTGGGAAAAGTTATGCTTAAAAAAAAATCGAGAGTCAAATTATGTTTTAAAGGATTTTTTTTTTGTAGCTTTCTTTAAAATACCCTAATACATACGCAGGAGAAGAGAGGATGGTAACCCTCCTTCTCTGGCAAGGGCTGTGATACTTGTGATACTCTGATAACCTATTAGGGGAACATATTCCAGAAATAGCCAAACTGGCCGAATTTCACAGCACGGTGCTAGAGATCCTTCAGACAAAGTTACAGGGCGCTGTACCCAGCTAATAAACCCCGATACTCGGAGCAAAAGCAGCTTTATCCTTCCAGACAGCAGCTCCCTTCGTGGAAACACAGTTCTGCCCTCTCTACCCTTCACTTACAGTCCCAGACTGGCTCCCTCTCAGCCAGCCTGCAAGCACCTGCCCACAAGGTGCAGCAGCATCACGAGACACCCCTGTCCCAGGGAAAGCAGCTGGCCTGATGCTACAACCCCGGCGTGTTTATGAACACCTTTACTATTTCAGACCCTGATGGATCAGGATGCCGTAGCCATAGAGCTCAAAGCAGTGGTTGTCACTGATAAATCACTTTCTGAACACTCCAGGAGCTGTAGATGGCATATTCAGCATCATCCATATTCACAAAGAGAACTTCCACTGACCCTGCCCCACACCTGGTGGCCGAGTGCTGTCCAAGCTGCTGAATCACCCCCTTGCAGCCCTGAGACATCCCAACACAACTGTACACAGCTGTTTCCAACAGACAACCACACATTTAGTCCAGGGGATTTTTTTTTCAATCATCACCCTACAGTCTCCACAAGAATTCTTAGTGAAAAGCCAGAGTCCAGCAGGTAGGGGCCACCAGCCCCACAATGCAGTTAAAACGCTTCAGAGGCCTGACTACTGTACAGCTATAGGAAAAATAAAAGCCCCCGTCAGAAGTTCCCTAACAGCAATCAACATCTTCTCTTCTGTCAGGGTACTGCAAAGACCCTCCTTGCCATACAGGCAGGAGAGATTTATAGACAGGAGCAGCCCATAGCATGGGAAGTTCAACACCACCCTCCATTACTCTCAAACATCCACCCTCATCTCTGATTCAGGAGGAATCTGACATCCCATTTAATTTTTTTCCCCCCTCCCTCTCCCTCTTTCTCTCAGCTGTCACCTCTTGAGAGAGGAAGCTTAACAGTGATGGCCGTGCGCAGCAACGTCAGCCTTGCTGTACTGCCGAGGTCCTAGAAGCAAAGGGCTAAGCTATAAGATATCTACCTAGAAGAACGCTAACCAGAAAGTTACTCAGCTTAAAGTCAGAAAGATCAGCCTTACAGACGCGCAGGCAACTGTGAAGCAACTTTAAAGCAGAATGCTGGCCCAGCCTCTCTCCTAAAGCTGCTATCAATGAAATCACAGTTCTGGGCATCAGGAGAGAAGGCAGCACGGCGGAGCGGCTGCAGCGCACGTCCATGGCGTGGCAGCTGGCAGGATGAGGTCAGCTTGCTTGCGTCTGTCAGACGCCAGCGGCAGTGGGGGAACAGTCTGCAGGCAGGATGTATCCCTCACCCTCCCAGGATCATGACTGGGTGCGGTCCTTTGCACTGCCACGTTTGTGAGACAAACATCTGGAATGAACAATAAGGATCAAACTGACACTGAACAAGCAAGTGCAGGATTCTCACTCTAAACAGCCCTCTTCTGCCCCCGCCAATTAATTATCTTCCCTATCTGTAATCACAGGCTTCAGCCACCTGAGCTTAAATCCAATACTGCACGATAATATCTGACTAAAAATTGCAGGAAAAAGTTAAAAATGAGAAGTAATCAAGAGTGGAACCTGGAAAACGAAGGAGTGACTGGCCTGAGTGAGTACTGTGCCTCGCGGCTGGCAGGAAGCTCTTCACGTCACCGTGTCTCCAAACCTCAGTGCGCCTTCACCCAAGGCAGCGTGCTGTACCCGCACTCTGGAAGGGCTTTTGATCATTCAGAGCAAGCGTGAACTCTGCTGAACTTTCACAGAGAGAAGTGATGGATTTTCCTGTCTCCTAAGCCATCAAATTAAGGTGGGATACCTTTTGGGAAGACACGTTAATCAAATGAAAGCGATCAAACTCAATCCAATAGCAAGTGTGACACGTAGGAAATCAAATAGTTCTCTCCCATGAATCACCCCGTCCCTACGTCCTGTGAAGCTGAGGAAGAAGAAAGGCTCCCAACGTTCAACCACTAACAATAAAACCAGGACTGACATTTCAGCTTCGGTCCTAGCTGATTTGTCAAACTGACATTTCCAGTGATCTGGTGACACCAGTTTTCCAATGAAAAAAGACAGGAGAGAGACGGGGTGACAGCAGCAGCGACAGGACAGGCGAATCCTGTAGGTGTTTGCAGGAGTCAGAACGACAAGGTCCATCCAATGCGTCTAATACCAACAGTAAAATCATACATTCCTTTTCTAACCCTTCTTTATGGCACACACAGACAGGTAGGATACAGCAGTCATCTCTGCTACCTGGAGTAAATCATGTATTAGAAAAGCAAGCAAATCCACCTCTGTATAACCAGGCCTTCAGTGGGACGTACTGGGAGAAGACAAAAGGAGCAACTGGGCGTTAAGACACAGAAATCCATTTCTGGCACAGTAACGGTGGTTTGCACTCACAGATGTCACTAGGACATAAACCCTCAGGACAAACTTTCAACCTATGAAGTGCAGAGAAATGTACAATATAACCCACATGCTGATATTGCTGCCCAGTGTTAGGCCTAGCCAAGATCAGAAGTTTATACATAAACATGTACACAAAGCGCAAGAAGTCAGATCCCAAATAAAGCATCTGAATGTTTGGGAAAAGCCAGGGTAAGAAACTTTTTTATTGCCCTGGGGAATGGTGAGGGAAGCACGAGACAGGCACAGAACAGAACAAGCCACCAGCAGAAGGAGAGGATAAAATAAGAGCAAAACCCCAAAATGCCTGTTGGGTATTCGCCAAGGAGAAGACAGAGTCGTCCTCACCTTCTTCAATCAACACTATCCTTCACTTTTCGGAACAGGAAAACTCCTTCGCCTTGTGACCTGCCAACATACAGATGGGAGAGCAGAGTTACTGGCTTTAACGTTAGCGTTCCCTGCTCTTCCCCAGAATTTCAGCGTAGAAGCCCTGCATAACCAGATTCATCACCTGTTTGTATGCCAGCACATTCATCGAAGGTTACAGGGGCAGGGGGATCCAACAACAGCCCCCTAGTGCAAAAACCTCAGAGCCATAAGCGTTAGGAGGATTCCTGGAGGAAGGGGCAGAGCAGGCAGCCTGCCTACGGGGAAGTTCTGCAGTACCGAATAAACAACCTCTGTCACACGCCTGCAGAAACAGAAGTAGCACAACATATGTTGTCAGGAATTTTAAGCCACGTTTTATATTTGTGTACGTTGTAGAACTTAATGAAACAGGGAAGTCGGGAAAGATGTCAGACAACCACGGCAAGTGAGAGCAGAACAATCCTGAAGACAGCCCAGGCTGCACCATGTGTTAGAAGAGGGTGACGAGTGGCCCAGATAAGCTACCAGAGAAGCAAGGCTCCCTGGGGCACCTCCTGAAGGAGGTCCAGGCTCCCGCAGCCTCAGGACAGGGCACTGCGTGCATCCCGACCTGCTACTGCATCCGAACATGGGAGTAGGCAATCCCAGACACCACAACACGGGGCTGCTCAAGAGCACGGACCGACAGAAGGAGTAACATGGAGTTTATTTTTACTTGTCTGCGAGTTTTGAGGTCAGCCACAAACTATTTCATTTAAGTTGTTGGTATAATCTCAGTAATCACAGGCTTTTCATACATCCTTGTTTACTGTGTTCTGGTTATTTACCATGTTAATTGAGGTTGTGGGCATAAAAATCAGCTTAATACAAGGGGTTTTGTTGCCAATTAACACGTTCCCATTTGCAGAGTTAGATAATCACTAGCTGCTATCCTCCTGGCTGTAATTCACATGTTAGTTTGCATAATTGCCTCCCATTTACTTCTCACAAGCATGCCCTTACCGCCGAGCCTGACTTGAGGGGTAAGGCGAATCCTCCTGGCCCGGCTTCCCCACCAGACCCACTGCGCAAAGCAAAGCAACTGCTCGCTTGCAGGTCTCACAGGTGGGTGTACTTTTAATTATGCACCACGGCACAATACTCAGGATGTTAAATGACTCGAATCATGTGGCAGAAGTGAGGCATTTCTCAGCGTCATGTCATGTTGTCATAATTTCTAAAGGAAACGTGATTTTTCCTTGGTCCCCAGGACACTGGCTGAACTGGAAGTTGCTGCGTTCAGCCCAGCTCCAGGTAGCTCTAGGTGTGGGGGGACAAATGTGGCTTGGAGCATGAGGCTGCCCTTCAGGTCTCTAACTGCAGAGCAGAGAGAAGCCAACCAAACCCACCCCAACTTGGACTCCAGGCTGCTCATGGAGTCTCCCGTAATCTCTTTCCATTCCCAGGATGGAATTCTGCTCAGTAAATTGGTTGGACTTACACGGGCTGACATCTACCGTAGTGGGATTTCCCTAAAACCACACAGATGTTTCCACAGCTCCAGCTTTAGGGGCTTCCCTAGAACACTGCTTAACTAGAACCCCGATTACACAGCTGCCCTGCACACACACACACACCCCCCTTCTTGCACACCTGCAGCTGAACTGAAAGATTCCAGAGCATGAACTTGGCCATAGCCCCACAGCGAAAACCCCCGGGAGCACAGTCTGTTCCTCCACACAAGAACTCTGCACTTTAGACCTTCACCATCAAGTTAGCTTTGACTCTACAAATAAACTGAGCTGTCTTTTGACTGCTGAAATAAATTGTTGCACAAGAAGTGTTTTGGTCGTACGTGTTGACCAGGGAACTGGCCAGGAGCCCTGCTGCTCCTAGCCACCTGGCTATGCCCAGCTCTTCCTGGGGATTTCCCGCACATTCTCCCCTCCCTCCGCAGAACGAAAGCATCCACTCATCTCTGTCTCACTTTCCTTGGGAAGAGCGCCTACTTACTGGTTTCAGAATCCAAGCGATGCCAGGATTCTTGCGAAATTCTTCCACAAACAAATAGTACTCTGAAGGCATTTTGAAGGTCTTCAGAATAAAGGCACGTTTTGTTGCCTCAAGCTTTCCTGCTTCTCTTTCTAACTGCTTCCAAAACCTCTTCAGATTTCTTCGCTAAGCGGTTCTTCTGACTCAGCTGGGTAAAAGGAGAAATACAACGTTCAGCTCCACAAATGCTCCCACAGTCTGACTCACTTTAATTGCCCTTGAGAAGTTTCTGGTGACATCTGGGGATCAACTGCACCACACACTCTAGGGAGAAAAGTAAGTGAACACGGATACCATTGAGTGCTGCTTTTCCTTCACGGAGGAGAGGGCTCCATTTTGATTTTCTGTATCTCTGCATGGAGAGGGGAAGGTAGAACAGAGCAGGTCTCACAACCCATGTTCTACCCCTCCTAACGCAGCCCTCCCCTGCAGCCGGCACGCTCCCCTCCAGGGCAGGCAGCACTGATCAGCCAGCTCCCTGCAGGCAGGGTTGGCCCCAGGGCCGCAGAGCCCAGCTCCACCGCTCCCAAACCGCGGGGTTGCGGCCCAGTGTTACAGACCCCCCTCTGCCTCCATTCGTGCCAGCACTGGCGAGGGTGAAGGCTCAGAGCCGGGACGCATCCTGCTCAGCTGCCGTGGCAGCAACACCCAGGGAGGACGGGGCAGGCCTCCCAGCCTGGAGGAGTTTTACCGGTTGCAACAAAACCCCCCCACAGATACAAACAGAACCCCCCAAAATGCAGCAGTTTTGCAGGCCCGACTGCAACGCGCCATCCTCGGGTGGTTTTAAGGCAAAAGCCCCATTTGCTGGGCAGACGGGACACAGCGCGGGGCCCGGGTGCAGGAGGCCCTGCCGGCCTGCGCTCGCCCTCAG